CTCATCCAAATGAGCCTCATTAAATCAATCATACAAGACAATAAGGCTAAGTTCATTTCTCTCTCATGGTTTCTCATTCATTTTAAGAACTTCTATACGATGGATCTAACAATTGTCTCCAAGCTTCTCCATCGTTGCTGCTTGTTTGGTTCTCTAATAAGAGATGAAGACGAAATAAGATAGGTGATGATGGGTATCCAAGCGACAGAAGGTTAACTTGGGAATTTACCTTTTTTAAGGGTGATTTTAACTTAAATTAGATGGAAGGACCCATTTATTTGATGGACCAATACTTTAGGGATGTTAAAGTTATTTGTTAATTATAAAAGGACAATAGTGTTATGATGACTATAATTTAAGGACCGGAAAGTATTTTACTTATAATAATATTAGGAGCAAAAATTGATCGTTGAATTAATTATATTAAAACTCATTCGAAATACGGTATAATAGAATCTTTAGTTAAAATAGTAAAACATTGATACTATTAATTAAAATATTCATTCAATTTGCATTGTTGTCAATTAGGATCAATAAATTACATTGCGGGGAGGGGATAGAATCCATGACCTTTTGATCATGTACCTCATCTTAACCATCTATGTCTTTCAACATTTGGTTTAATTACAGATTTAAACTTCAATCTCCACATTGCTATGCTCTTTCCCTTTATAAAATATCTTATATACCAAAATGATAAGTGGGTTCTTTTTTTCTTTTAGGGCAAACTAGGTGGATTAAGGGCATCACTTCCGATTAATAAAATAATCTATTAATCAATGAAACCAAACTCAATTCGGGTCCAAAATTATCATATGTTCACTCCAATTTTTTAAATTTTCTTGCACGATCCTGGTGCACTGATTTTCATCAAGGCATTTGTTGAAACAGAGATTTAATGGTACAGATTTTTTCAATCAAAAGCAGAGAATAGTATTTTTGTTGATGGTTAGGTCGTGATTGGTCTTTTTTTTCTTTTGCCAAGCGACTTTCACTCTCTATATTGAGAATAAGAGTAAAAAACAGTGTCCCTCCAAGGGTTTAGCAACAGTTGAAAAATCTCTGTCTCTGCAAATGAGCTGTAGTAGTCGTACTATTACTCACTGATCAGTGTGCATGGTCAGTACCCAACTCAACCACACAACCAAAATGGTACCTAAAAAAATACGACATGCTCTTTAATAATTAAATATGATCTTTCATTATATAATTTATAACCAAACAATAAAAGAAAGAGTAAAGGACAAATAGTATTCCATTAAAAGAGAATGCACACAACTCTCACAAAAACATGAACAAAAAAACGTGGATGATGCTATTATTGACAAAGAAAAAGCTAATTAGTGTTAGTAAAAAAAAATTAGATCAAATTACGTGAAGAGAAGAGAATTACCCGTTTAGAGAAAAACGATAGCGATAGCACATAGAATCAAGCGATATATAGAGAGAAAAAGAAAGGTCGGATAAATTTATAGTCTCTTAAATTTAAAATTCAATATATTGTTTTGTGATAGATAATGAGTAGATTTTTACATTTAAAATTATTTCTTAAATTCAAAATTCAATATATTGTTTTGTTGTAGATAATGTGGAAAGATTATTTTATAATTATTTAATATTTTCATCCAATCAAATTATAGTAAAATAAAATAAAATAAAATTTAAAAGAAAATTCAAAATTTTGTAGAAAAAAGATAAATAGGAATACTGAACATAACATAAGAAGCGTCTTGAATTTATTTTCTTGCTTTAGACTTATATATATATATATAAAACTAGGCAAAGACATGCGCAATTGCTTTATTATTATTTTTTAAAGGATTTTTTATTTTTTATTAGTATATTATAATTTATACTTCATAAATTGCATTTAACAATAAATTTAAAAAAAAAAACAAAAAGATCTCTTAATTAGTGTGAACTAATAAATATAGTCATACATGTAAAGTTTTCAGAAATGAAAAACTAATTTAAGAGTATTGTTTAATAGTTTCTTCTAAAAATATAAAATCTAGAATATATATACACATGGAACAATGACCATATTTTGCATTCATGATCACTTCATTTAACAGCTTGAGAAATTCAACTAATCCCGCAAGGTCAGGTTTATACATCAATAAAATTAAGTAAATTAAGTTGTTTAAAATCACCACAATCAAAGGAAACAATATTGTAAATGCGAAAGTTTATATTAATATCAAACAAACTAGCATATACAGAACCTTTATTTTCTACTTGAACCTATACTAAAAAATAGAAAGAGTTCATACTAATATAAATTTTTGAGTACTGATAATTAATAAACGCAACAAACAACACTAAAAAGAATAAATTGACAGGTGCATGTGATTCTAAACAAATTGATACTCAAATAACGGTACAAATCGAGATTTTAAAAAAGAATATTGACAGGTGCATGTGATCCATAAAACAAATTGATATCAAATAACGGTAACAAATCGAGATTTTAAAAAGAGAAAAATTGCAGCTTCAAGTCAATGGAACAATTTTAAGTATAGAATTCTAAATCATGCACAATTTTTTGATTGAATATCATTGGCAGGTGCACAATTTTGATTGAATATCATTGCCAGGTAGGAACGATGATAGAAGTAAAAAGCTCTTCTTGAAAATAATATTGAGTCCAATTAGGAGTATGATGATTGATGCTTTCTTGCGACAAGATAATTAGATTGTGAATATAATAAAAAATATGTGTAATACACTAACTGATGCGCTATACAAAAGAAAGAAAAGAAAAAAATTCAACATACAACAAACTAATGAAAAAAAAGAAAGCAAGGCAGTAACCCCAAGCCATTGACTATGATTATATGTGGATACAGATATACACAGATACACGTACAAAATTAAAAATTTTCAAAAGCCAAATTATCTTTAAAAATTTTGAATTTTTAAAAAAATGAAAATCAAATATCGAATAAAATAAAATATTTGTTAAATTAGATTAGACTTTAAAATATATTGCTATTATCTAAATATTAATTTTTAAATTAAAAAAACATATAACTCAATCAAAATATACAAAAATAAAGAAAAATTTTAAATTTTGAAATTTTGAACAAATGAAAATCAAATACGAAATAAAATAGCATGATTGTTAAATTATATTAGATTTCAAAATATGTTGCTATTATCTAAATATTAATTTTAAAATTAAAAAACATATAACCATCCAATCAAAATAAAGAAAAATAAAAAAAATCTAAAAACTGCAATTAAAATTTTTCAAAATTTTTAAAAAATGAAAATCAAATTCCAAATAAAATAGAATAGTTGTTAAATTAGATTAGATTTCAAAATATATTGCTATTGTCTAAATATTATTAATTATTAATTTTAAAATAAACAAATATAACCATCGGATCAAAACATAGAATTCCTAAAAATAGATAAAATAGAATAGTCAAATAATACAATGTCAACTCACATCATTTTGCTTAAGGATCGTATATATAGGGGAAACAATTTTATTTTTTTATTTTTTTTTTTTTGAATTGACTTGTCTAGGTCCATGGCTCAACCCGTAGACGAAACCGATAAAAATTTTATTGAAATAAAGATATTTTTCATCATACAATAGAAAAAAGAAAGTATGAACAATATTTGAAAAATTATTATTTCATTGATTTGGACCATTGGTGTAATCATGAACCTGATCTATACAAGTATACTCTATTAGTGGAGCCATGATTTATACAACTAATCTTACATAAATCATTTTAATTAACTTGTTTCTACATTTTTAAGAATTAATTTACTCCTTAAATTTTTACTCCGTCAAATAATATGGTTGATTCATACAAAAAGTGGTCATTTTGCCATTAAATGATTGTGCAAAGACTAAAATGCTCAAAAATCGATTTTGCATGAAATGTTTGGAAAATCGATTGCTAATAATATAATCACAAAATCCAATCGGAAGACTTAAAAACAACAAAACTTTAATTCTTTAGTTCTTGAAAACAAGAACTAAATGATCAAATCATGGCTAGAAACATGCTTATCGAGACTAGATGAATATTTTGGTGCCTTGTCTTAGCCGGACGACAGCTAGAGCATGGGCGGAGGGAGAGAGGCGGTGGTGGAGCGATGCAAAGAGGAGAAGAAAATTTGATTTGCTCTCTCCTTGCTTATCTATATGTGGTGCGGTTTGGCTTGGCTTGAGTTTGATTCGACTCAATTCTCTAGTTCACTTGATCTAGCAATATGCTTGTCCCCAACACAAAAAAAAAAAAAAAAAAAAAAGTTCACTTGATCTAGCAATAATGCTTGTTCCCCTACCACCATCGCTACCAGTAGGTAAGTAAAAAAAAAAAAAAAAAAAAAAAAAGAATGTAATTTTAATCTTTTAATTTTTATCCTCTCACATGGGTCAAATACAAGGAAACTTAAAATGTTTTTTCGCTAGGCTCAAATTATTAGAATAATCCATTATTAGCAACGTGGCACAATTCATAAAATCATTCAGAGTAAAAAAAAAAAAAAAAAAAAAAGAAGGTATTTTATCTTTTAATTTTTATCTCTCACATGGGTCAAATACAAGGAAACTTAAAATGTTTTTCGCTAGGCAAAATTATTAGAATACCAATTATTAGCAACGTGCACAATCATAAAATCATTCAGGTTATTAGGAAAAAAATAATTATCTAGATATACAAATTTAAGAACTTTACAAACATTTTAAAACATAAAATAAACAAACAAATAAAAATAAAACGATTTTTGCAGATGCTACTTATTATATTCATATAAAAAGAATTTACACATGCATACTGCTACTTATTATATCTATACAAAAAGAATTTATGCATATACATACACACAATATGCTTTGTGTTATGGCACCGTAAAACATGTCGACACCCAAACCAATAAGCCAATCATTTTCAACATATAACAAAACCTTAAAATATTACAACTTTAAAGCATCAAGAGTATCAATAAAAGCATGCATATGTATGCTCTAGAGAAGATTGGCCATGGAGAATAAAGCTGCTGCCATTTTTTTCTAGATTTCGCTTCTTCTTCTTTCTATAATATCTTTTGTACATAATTCAAGTGACAAAATACAAAGCTTTAATTAATTAAGTTATCCCCCCATAAGTCAATTTCTTGGCTGTAAAGTGACAGCAACATACAAAAAGACACTTATCTTTTCACTATTTTTACTTTTAATCACCAAGTCATTCAAAAACCTTCCATGCCATTATCAAATGGTTGGTAGTAACGTTAGACCCCAAAATCACTACGAAGCAAAACCCAAAAAGGCCTAAAAAGACTTTTTCCCTAACTTCCCTTTAATTTGATTTCTCTTTTTCTTTTCATAGTGCAATCTCAGTCTGCAAAGTGGCAGCATTAAACCCCACCGCCTGAGGTGGTTGCTGTGGTGGTGGTAGTTGTTGAAGTTCATGAACCTCCCATCTTGCTTTTGCTATAATTCCTTCACTGATTGGCACATACTCCTAATATCAAGAAAATAAAAAATAAAAACAGTGTCATAATTTACAAACAAACAAAGATTCACATAAAAAAAGACTAACATGGCAAACTGAAAAAGATTCTTTCTTCAGAACCCAGATTGTCTTTTCCATATTTGAATCCTTAAACCCTATCATTAAAAAACTTGAAAACTCACCTCAAGCTTTTGAACAAGTTCTTTGGCATTTGGTGCAGAGACAAAGATGTTACGCTGTGAAGGTTTAATAAAGCCATCATCTACGGCTTTGTCAATAAAAGTCAGGAGATAGTTATAATACCCATCAACATTAAGTAAACCCACCTGCAATTTTCAGTTTCGAAGCCAAAGTCAAGGTCTTTAAACAAAAGTAATTAATTATACTATTAACTACGGGATAAACATGCTTAATTAATTATTATTACAGGCTTGTCATGGATACCAAGCTGAGCCCAAGTGATCACTTCCAATAACTCCTCTAGAGTTCCATACCCACCTGAAAAATTAAACGAAGAAGAAAAAGAAAAACGCCATTTTATGGGTAAAGGTATATTTTTATATGGTTCTGTAACTTTTATATGTTAATAAATATTATATATCAAAGACAAAAAGAGAAAATTTTTGGACCTGGTAAAGCTATAAAACAGTCAGAATGGCGGGCCATTTCTGCTTTCCTTTGGTGCATGTCAGCTACTGGCTTTACCTCTCCAACCGTTTCACCAGTAATCTGGGTTTCCACCACATCAATACAAATTTTAGAACTAAACTTAAAGAAAAATCAAGAACAAAATACTAGGAATAGTACTAATAAATGCACCTCTTTGCTCATCAGAGTCCTGGGTATGATTCTGAAAAAACCAAAAATTAGGCATTTTGTAGCAGAAAAAGATGAGAACCCAAAAACTAATAATATATGTGTATTTATATTACCCAAGAACATTGCGTCCAGCCTCATGAACAGTTTGTGAAACCAAACCCATAAGCCCAATACTACCCCCTCCATAAACAAGGTCTAATCTTTTCTCCACCTTTACATAGGAAAACCAAAAAAAGAAAAACCCTTTTAGTAGAATATAAGAAAAATGATCAAGAACTAGAAAATATATAGTCTGTAAGTTCATATATACCAGTTCTTGGGCTAGCTCAATGGCAGCATCTCTGTAACATTCTCTCTTTCCAGAGCTGCTGCCACAGAACACACATACTCTCTTAAACCTTGATTTCACTAATTTCCTCTCCATATCAATGTTTGGCGTAAACAAGTACAATGGACATGGAAAGGCCAATATGTATTTATATATGCATATAGATTTTTAATTTAAAAAGAGAAAAGAGTAAAAGATATTATTTAAAAGGAAGAGAGATGAAAAGGCCAAAGAAAATGTGGGAAGGGAAAGGTAGGGGGAGAGGGGGGTGGGGGAAGGGCCAGGTGGGGATTGAGTAAGACAAAAAGGCTATAAAAGGAGACAAGTAGAATGGACAGTCTGTAGAGTGATTACACGTGGAAGCATATGATCCATGAATCATCAAGGTTTCATGTTCTTGTTTGTAACATAGACATTATCTAGTAATTAATGCATATTTTTTTTCTGTTTTTCTATTTCTCTCTGCGGAATTTTTAATGCTCAGCAATCATAACTTGGAGGCTAGAACACGTGCAGGGTCGCTGCCTGCATCAAATCATGATTAATAGTGATTAGATTTAATTTTTTAAAGAAACATTTTGGATTAAGTCTGCTACTTTATAAAGTTGGAGTAATAGTGACCCTGGTTGGTAAGGACCAATTTATCATTTGTATTTTCTATTTTCATTTTTTATTTTTTAGTGTATAAAAGATTAAATTGAAAAAATAATAAAAACTTATTTTTATGTTTTTTATATATTATCACAACTTAAATTTTATTTAATTTATTGAACACTAAGAAATACATACGTGCATAATTTTTTTTATATATAAAAAGTCCAATAAACTTGAATAACATTTTAAACTACACGGTAGGATAGCTCTTTCGTTTAGACGAGATTCATCAAATTAATGATAATTTTAATGATAGAGATGACTCGAACACGAGATTTATGTTCCCAAATTTTTTAAAAACATATGAAAACCATCACGACTATACCTGATTGATAAATTTAGATAATAAATGGTTTAAAAATAAAAATTCAAACTTGAAAAACAATATTAATAGCAAAACAATCCTTCCATTATTTAAAGTTTTATTTTTTTCTAAAAAAAGTATATGAATTCAAAAGAAATTATTCATTACATATATGAATTGAGCATATTAAGTATTTACAATTTAAATTTGATCTAGATAAAGATCAACGTTGACTATTAACTAATTAAAATCCCAATGGAGAACATCAAATAAGAAGAATAGAAAAGAAACATTTCATTCAATCTTGACACAATGTCATATCCTAGCTATGAAAAAAACAAAAATAGTGTTATCTAATCAGGTTTGATTTGGTTTAATTTTCTCATTAATATGTGGAGTGGATGGTCTCGAGTTCAAATCCTCTCGATCAGAAGAGTTTTCACCAATCCGATAAATTAAGAGGAGGTTGCTCATATTGTATAGTTTATTTTATTATTTCAACTTATTGGGTCTCTCAACGAATAAAAAAAAAATAGTATTAGCTGATATTTTAACACAAACTAAAAATATTAGTTGGTGACCGATGATTTTTAATGCATTCAAGATGTTAAATATATTATATGATCATTAAACTTTCAAAAATATAAATTAATATTAGTTTTTAGTATAAGACTTCATGAAATTCAAACTCTAATAACCTCCATCCTTATAACATTTATATGTATTGAAAAACTTATAAAAATATATTTACATAAATAAATACTTAAATAGTAATAACTTTAAGCAAATTTAACAACAATATATATAATAAAAATATATTATTATACCATGAAAAAAGAAATGCAATTAATCATGGACAAGTCATTGTGTTTTGCTTGCATCATTGTAATTGCAAAAAACTTATCATTCCCAAAAAGCCTTTTGTTTTGTCCACACACTAAAGCAAATGGTTGTGGCAAGTAAGGTGTTGTGTGAACAAAAAAAAAAACCCAAAAGCTGAAACATACATGATCACCATGATCAAACCTTCCATGAATGGTATTTCAACAGGCCTCTTCCATCTCCAACTGTTCTTTACCTAACCTTTTCTATGAAAAAACTTATCAATAAATTGCTTCTATTTCAATAATTACTTGTAAATACAGTAAGTAATGCTATATGTAATGAACAAAAACTGAAATGAATTGTGAATTTGTAAACTATCACATAGTTTAAATCTGTGTATATATATATATATATATATATGTAATGATGTTGCCAATTACAAATATTTTACATTTACATTGTTTATATTTTATATTTTATATTCGTTCAGTTTTTAATTTCAGTTTAGTCTTTATAAATAGCTAACCAAATTAATTTTTTACACTGAAATAGGTGATGAAATAATCGACTAAATCCAAATCAATTTGGTTCGATTTGATATCGAAATTGAATTCTATAGTGTTTGTCTGATTTTGATAGTCATGAAAATTCATTTAGTCAGATCGAATCAAACTAATTAGATTCGGTTCGGTTGTATCGAATGCTCGAACTTAGTATTTAGTACATTTGAAATTAAAAATTATTAATAGTCTAATAATTCTTTTTTTTTTTGTAAGTTTGAATATTACTAGTAATTTATATATTTGACTTTGAGACCAGCCAATCCTTGGAACTAGTCATTCGATTCACGAAATTATCAATTCCAGTTTGGTTGCGGAATTGTGTATTCCAGTCTTCTTATATAAGAAATCAGGACTAGCTCAACTTTGGCTGATTCGAGCCAATTATTTTTGTAAGCCTTATTTTCATTGGAACCAGCCAATTTGGTCATTTCTGGCTGATTTGAGTTCCATTCGATCCTAACTCCGCCGTGGCCGCCACTTTTTGACTTAATGCATCAATGATATTTCTTCCGTATCATTTTATTTATATAATTTAAAAAAGACATATATATTAAAATTTTGGTTAATAAATTTTTTTTTTTTACTCTTTAACTCATTAAGATAGTAATAAAAGTTTTTCATTTAAAGGATAATAAAGATTATAATGGTAAAAGTAATTATTTTAAATTTAAAAATCTTACAAATATTTTGGAACATTTAAATAATGAATAACAAGCAAACAAAACAGGACGGAATAAATATTTTACACTTTATAGAAATGATTTTTTGATTTTTAAAATGAATATATATAAATAATCAAATAATTAGCTTTGCATTAAAAAAATTCGTATTAAAATATCATATTTCGTTACTTATAATGTCAAATTTTAAATTTTCATCTATGTCTGAAAGCAAAACTTAAACCGTAATCATCAAACAATAACCAATTAACCAAATAAAAAAATTTAATAATGAAAAGAAAGTGAATATTTTTGTATAATTCAGTTATTGGGTGGATAGGGTTGAAGTGGGACCCATTTGGAGAGAATTTCTGTAGGCAGATTGGTTTGTTTTTGTTTGTTCTGTGACCTGTCTCGTAAGGTGACTGTCCTTATGACTTTTGAGGTGGTGGCCTGCCAAAGGGTCACTCATCAGGTCATATTCTCCCAATTTAATGCTGCTGACATGCGACGTTTCCTTTCCTTTCCTTTCTTATTAATTATTTAAGGTTAATTATATTTGCAATATAAATTTTTTATCTTTATATTTGATTGAAAAATATTTACAATTATATATCTGAATTATAATTAAATACATTTAATGAGAGTTTTTTCTCTGAACAATTGAAGTAAATTGTTTGCCTGCATTGCTTTGTTTTATTTTGTTTGTTTTCTAAATTATGACCTTATTTATTATTTGTTTCTTTTTTTACATTGTTTTGAAATTGAAAGAAAACTAGAAAGAATTTTTGAATTTTGTTTTATAATAAATATATAAGATAATCACAATTTTTGAAAAAATAAAAAAGATGAATTGAATGAATATTTATATTTAATATCATTTATTTAATAAAATTGTCCATTTTAATTTTTCAGCCAAATGCACTTAATTATAAGTTTTTAAACAGTTAAATGCTCCGTCAGAAATTTCACTTTTGCCTCTTCTCCTCAACACACAGCCGCACAAATCCAAGCAAAAAGCCACTAAGAGACCAATCAAGGGAAGGGTTGGGGTATTTGTCACGGAAGGAGATCAAGCTTATATTGGGCCAATGAGAAGAAGAGGCAGGAGCTAATCCAGGTCGAGGACAAGAGAAATAGGAGAAACAAAAAAAAAAAAAAAAAAAAAAAAAAAAAAAATTAATTATAAGTTTTTTTTAAACGTAAAATTGCTCCGTCCCAGAAAATTTCACTGTGTGTGGCCTCTTTCCTCAACACACGCCGACAATCAGCAAGCCAAAAAGCCACTAAGAGAACCAATCAAGGGAAGGGTTGGGGTATTTTTGTCCACGGAAGGAGATTCAAGCTTATATTCTGGGCCAATGAGAGAAGCGTGGCAGGAGCTAATCAAGGTCGAGGACAAGAGAAATAGGAAACATAAAAAAAAAAAAAAACAAAAAAAAAAAGTATTGACTTATTCAAAAAAAAAAAAAAAAAAAAAAAAAAAAAAAAGTAATTGATATTCATGCCTCTGTTTCTTTATTGGAATATTATTATGAGTGTTGTACTAATATTCATGCATGAATAAACTTTAAATCTAGTTATGGAATTAATTATTAGATTAATGTGTCCAAGAATGTATTTATTCTTATATATGCCTATAGTTTTCTAATTTAATACGTGTAATTTTAATGCCTGTGGATATATTTGTCTTAATATTTGTATGATTGGAAGATTGATTTGTTAGTTGGATCTCACATGTTAAACTTAAAAAATAGATGTAGGGATAGACTAGATTTCTTCGAGGGCCAAGGGTTAACACCAGCTTATTGGGTTTCAATCAACATAGTACCGCGGAAGTATGTGCCATTTTAATTCTAACACATCCATTTAACCTTGGAAAAGGAACTTGGATATTTTAAGTTAGTCCTCCTTCAGAACAGGCATAAACCATTGAATCGATCATTCGCGGTACGCATTAAGCTAATAAATATCCCATAGTTAGATTACCTTGATATTTGATTATTTAAACTCTTAAAAATTGTTAGCTTAATTGGCTTGCTTTAATTTTGTAGTTATTTAATTTTATTGCAATCTTATTTATTACTTGACAAAATATCTACGGTCTTCCTGATAATTATTAAATATAAAAATTCGTAATCTATTCTTTAATTCCTGTGGATTCGACAATCTTTTTCACTATATTATTTGTACAGTCCGTATACTTGCGGAATACACATTTATAGCCCATTAAGTTTCTTGCGCCGTTGTGTGGGACT